TTCCACAGTGGATGGAATTCCTGGCAGTGGGCTCACCAGGTCCCATGTTTAACTATACAAACCGAAGAGCTGTCTGTCCAAACACAGGTTTCATTTATACTTATGTTTTTCCTCGAGAATCAGACGTGTTTCTTTGGTGTAAAATGTTATACTCACCTCAGGTTGCCCCAGTTCAAATTAAAAGATATACCAGTAAATGTCATTTTAGCTAGAGGGAAGGACAAAGCTTGGTCTGCCGGTGACCTTGCCTTCTGACTCCAGTGACTCTCTATAACTTTCCAGGACCAGTTTCAAGCTCGGTCCTTTGGATGGAGAACTGCTTCCAGGCAAGGCATGGCTGGCATTGGTTCTGTCTGCATCCTCCTGCACAGATGCTGGAGAAGACCTCAGAGTGCTCACAAGACCAAACCAAGTAGAGAATCATAAAGTGAGCCTGGGGTAATGACGGCCAGGACCAGGCAGAATACAGCGATTGTGACTGCTTGTATACATAGGTACACAGAGAGATGCAGATTTTTTGTTTTGAGACGGGCTTGTTCTATATCCAGGATGGCCTAGAACTTGCCATCCTCCTGTCTCAACATCCAGAGTACAGGAATTACCCTTATGTACTACCACCTGGATGTCTGTACCTTGAAGTTTCCAAACATTCAGACCAGCTTGTGGGAGGGCGGGGTTGAAAGATGTGTGAGTGTCCTGCCAACGTACATGTATGTGCACCACATATGTGCCTGATGCTGAGGAAGACAGGGGAAGGCACTGGATCCCTGGAGCTGGGTCTGCAGATGGTTCTGAGTTGACATGTGAATGCTGGAAACCAAACCCAGGTCCTCTGCAAGTTCTCTTAACCCGAGCCAGTTCTCCAGCCCACGCTAGATGTAATCACTGGCAGACTGCTTCCTTAGTCTGCATGAGGCCCTAGATCCAATCCCTAATAACAACTCTCTCTCCCTCTCTCTCTCTCTCTCTCTCTCTCACACACACACACACACACACAGACACACACGAACACAACACACACACATGAACACACACTTGCGAGCACATGCATAAGTATAAAAACATACATTTGAAAGTGGCAGGCAATGAGGTGACTCATTGGTAAAAGCGCTCACTGCACAAGTCTGACCACCTGAGTTTGGACCCTGGGACCCATGGAGGAAGAAGAGAACCAATTCCCAAAAGTTGTCCTCTGACTTCCACATATATGTGATGATGGTACATATGTAGGGGTATACATACACAATAATAATAAACAACGTTTTTAAAATTTGAGGGGCTGGAGAGATGGCTCAGTGGTTAAACCCATATATTGTTCTTCCAGGGGTCCCAAGTTCTGCTCCCAGCACAAATCACCGCTCCCACAGGGCACCCACAACCACTGTCACTTCAGCCCCAAGGGAGATCTGGCTTCTGCAGGCACTTGCACACATGTATGCACACAAGCACACACACACACACACACACGCACACACGCACACACATAAACATATACTTTTTGTTGTGGGTTTTTTGTTTGTTTTGTTTTTGTTTTTGTTTTCGTGACAGGGTTTCTCTGTGTAGCTTGGTTGTCCTGGAACTCGCTCTGTAGACCAGGCTGGCCTCGAACTCACAGAGATCCGCCTGCCTCTGCCTCCCGAGTGCTGGGATTAATCAAGCCCTTCTGCACTCCAGTCTCAGAGCACGGCCTCCAATTCCCAAGTTCTCTGGTCACTCGATGACCCCATGCTCGAGTCCCCAGAGAAGGGTTGCCTTCCCAAAGTGGGGTGAAAGGCTGGGACAGGTGGGGCCTCACGTGGGGCACTGAGGGAGAAGGGTTGGGGTTGTCAGCTGCCCATAAAGAAAGGCTCAGAAGTGCAGTGGTTTGGAAGGGTCTAGAAGAAGGTGACAAGACAGACAGATCAGGAAGGCTTCTCCTCTTCCTTAGCTGGTGGAGGCAGAGACTAGGGACACTAAGTGACCCCAGTACCCACTCCAGTGTGGAAAACCAGCACCAGAAGTAGACCCATGACCCTGAGGGCTATATTCTCCCCTCCTGAGTATACAATCCCCTAAAATAGACTACCCTTCTCAGCCTCCGGTTGCCCATGGCAGTAGACATAGGAGCCCATTCTGGCTAACGATGTTCAAGAAGAGTGGACACAGGTTAGTCCCAGACTCTCCTGAGACATCGTGCAGAACAGGGCTTAGGTGATGACTGAATGGCCTAGAAGTTCTCTACCCCTCTAAGCAAGGAAGACACTAGCTTCTTGGTTAACTAAGCCATTGGTTGGTATGTTTGCTGCTACAGCCAAACCAAATAGTAAAGAATTCCAGAGCCAGACAGCAGTGAGGGGGCACACCTTTGATCCCAGCACTCGGGAGGCAGAGGCTGGCAAATCTCTGTGAGTTTGAGGCCAGCCTAGTCTACAAGAGCTAGTTCCAGGACAGCCAGAGCAACAAACAGAAGGAAGGGAAGGTGGGAGGGAGGGAGGGAGGGAGGGAGGGAGGGAGGGAGGGAGGGAGGGAGGGAGGGAGGGAGGGAGGGAGGGAGGGAGGGAAGGAGGTTCAATGGATGAGTCCCAGAGCTAAAGGAGGTATCCAAGCAGGAGAGGGAGACGGTTCTAACTGTAAGAACTGCAGCACCCTAGAGTGTGGTGGTGGAACCGAGGCCAAGCATGAAGTTCCCTGGGGGGAGGGGGGAGTTAGGCTGTGGAAAAGGTTCAGGCATAGGAGCTGTGCAGGTTGGAAGGTGACGGTGACTGCAGAAGGAACGAGAACACCCATCCCTTCCCCACCCTTGTCCCTTCCCCACCTGGGTGCCAGCCCTCTGCGCAGACCGTACATTTTGCATGCTAATCTGACACTGAATGAGGTGCTTACTGGACTGAAGCCCAGGGGAACAGGGCGAGAAGCCGGCAGGGGACAGGGATATTCCCAGCACGCTGCCCTCTCTCTCCACCCTCTATCCAGCCAGTGGCTATTTCAGAGCATCTACCATGGCTCCTAGTGTCCTAGGTGCTGGGGGGTGACATGGAAGGACTCGCCCCAAATCCCATCAATAATAGCACTCACATACTTAGCTAAACAGACAAAATATCTGGTGACTGGTGCAGAGGAGCAAGGCGGGAGGGATGAGAAGTAGGAATTAAGTTCAAATACAGTAATGCCACTGAGAAGGCCTCTTGGCCAGGAATGATTCTACCCAGACGTTTGTGACATGTTTTGTTTTTAAAAATGCTGCCGCCAGGCAGTGGTGGCACATGCCTTTAATCCCAGCACTCGGGAGGCAGAGGCATGTGGATCTCAGTGAGTTTGAGGCCAGCCTGGTCTACAGAGTGAATTCCAGGACAGTCAAGGTTACACAGAGAAACCCTGTCCTGAAAAACCATATTTCTTAAAAAAGATTCTGCCCCGTATCGGCTACAGCTCTGCAGTGAACTTACTAGGTACAGACGAGTACAAACGCCTGCAAATGACCACGTGTGACTGATGCAGGGCTCTGGCTCCACAGCCCGATAGCCAGACTGAGGTGTCTGGGACACAGAGCTTCCCAGTGCAGTCCTTCTTCAAGCAGGGCCAAGAAGGGCCAGTGCCACGGGCTCTGGGTATCATCAGCAACACCTCCCAGGCTGGGCAGTGCTATCTGGGCAGGGGAGTGGGTCCTGGAGATTGTAGAGGCTCCTATGACATCAGGAGCTGGGGGACAGGGCAGGGCGAGCATGGGCTCTCCACCCTAGCCACCACTCTGGCACTTTCCCACTCCCTGTGGGCACAGAACGGGGTGGGGTTGGGTCTGGTGGGCTTTTTCCAGGCTGATGTAACAGGAGCAACAGGGCTGGGCTGGGACCATTCCGGGACAGTTAGGAGAGATGAGAGGTGACCCTGAGCCTCCATGGCTGAGGACAGAAGCAAGTGACAGAGGTCAACGGCACCCCACCTCACATCCTGTTTTCAGAAGGCGGGGTCCCAGCATGTGCTATTTTCTTGGATTTTAGCCAGGGTAGCACCCCCACACCCAGGCCTGTTTTTAAGGGACCCTGCCGGAGGGTGGAAATGTCGAAGGTCACACCCGTGCTGGAGTTCACCAAAAGTTTTTCCAGGCTGGGCTAGACCCCTGGCTAAGCAATGGCGAGAGAACACACCTCCCATTGGGGAACCCCGGGTTAGCAGACAGAAACTCGTGCAGGCCTTTGTGATTGACTGGGGGTCTTCCTCAGCCTCCTCCTGAGGGACAGCACACCCCGCACTAGATGTTTGAAGACACTCAGTGGAGAACCCTTGGTGAAGTTCTAACTGCTGCTGACCTTACAAAGAGCCACACTCCCCCCAGGAAATCTAGAAATTGCTGCAAAGGAGAGACCAGAGCTCTTGTTTAACCATGGAACCCAGCCATCTCCACACCTTCATGCTGTCCAGATGGAGTTCTTCTAGGCTCGGGGTTTAGGTTTCTGTAACGTAGTTGAGACCTGAAAAAGCTGGGCATGGTGGTTCATAACTAATGCCCTGGCACTTAGGAAGCTGAGGCAGGAGGATCAACACTTCCAGGGCAGCCTGGCCTACGCAGTAGGGTCCCGGCCAGCTTGAACTACACAGTGAGACTCTGTCTCAGAACAAAGTAAGACGGATCTTGGAGCTTAGCTGGCTCAGATGACAGACCAAGAGATCCTGACCCAAACAACCTAGATGGCTCACACAAGGTTCAGTGTGGTAGAGCCAGAGCCAAGAACCATAGATGTTTGCTAAAACACGTGTTATCTCTCTCTGCCTCACAAGCCCGCCTTCAAAAGGGGTCCGTCGGTTGTGTGGACCTAGACCTTAGTTTGGGGAGTCTGTAGGGGGGTTCCCAAGATGCCTCTGGCTCCCTCAAAAAAAGACGTGGCTCTGGTTAGCCTCAGTCCATCACTACTAGATGGACCATCCCATGGGTACAGGACGGGCGTGGGGGGTATGAAGGATGGAAGGCCCCAGCAATGGGTGTGGCCCTGGGTCTGTTCCCAGGGTGGAGCCAGGCAGCAGGTCACCCTGTCCCTTTAAGAGAAGGGGGAGAGCTAGCCCCTCTCAGCCATCCTGTCCTGTCATCCATCCCAGCCAAATCCGAAAAGGAAAATGAAAGAGGGACCAAGAGGAACAGGTCCCAGCTGTCTCCCAAGCTCCTGCGCTCAGCTCTAAGCACAGGCCCTGGGGTAAGTGGGGTCGGAGGACCTAGAGGCCACCAAGGGTCTACGGGGACTTGTGTTCTGTGTGTCAGGGGAGGCTCAGAGGGGACCTGACAACAGTTCGAGGGGGCTGTTCCCGTTCCCCTTGGCCCGAGGTAGGAAAGGGGGGCCAAGGGCGAGAGATTCCTAAGATAACAGGCTTCTGTGTCAGCCTCCAAAGGAGTTCTCCACCGTGAGGAAGAAAGGACACAGGACCAGAGGGGGCTCCCCCGGCCTGGCCCTCCCCTTGCTCCCCAGAGTCTCAAATGGAACCAGGACTCCAGCAGCCGCTCTCTAGAAATCATCCTTGCGCAGAGGCAGGCAAGGGCTGGCCCTGCAGAAGAGCCTAGAATCTGAGAGATCCCAGGGTCTAGCCAAGCAGGCCCGGGCGGAGGTGGGGAGGGATTCCTCCTCAGCACCCCCTAGGCCCAGAAGAAGGGATTCCATAGCTGAGGATGGACTCACCTACTACATCGCACTCAGACATTAACGCATTGAACCCCACAAAACCTCTGACCCCCTGGTCCCCTCCAAGGTTAGCGACTGTGGTGGGCGTGGAGGGCGGGGGTCCAGTTCATCCCAGCCTCTGACTACCCCTCTCCCTTGTCCCCAGCGTCATGGGAGAGTGGGCGTTCCTAGGCTCCCTGCTGGACGCGGTGCAGCTGCAGTCGCCGCTCGTGGGTCGCCTCTGGCTGGTGATCATGCTGATCTTCCGCATCCTGGTGCTGGCCACGGTGGGAGGTGCCGTGTTCGAGGACGAGCAGGAGGAGTTCGTGTGTAACACGCTGCAGCCCGGCTGTCGCCAAACCTGCTACGACCGCGCCTTCCCGGTGTCCCACTACCGCTTCTGGCTCTTCCACATCCTGCTGCTGTCGGCGCCGCCGGTGCTGTTCGTCATCTATTCCATGCACCAGGCCAGCAAGGAGGCGGGTGGCGCGCAGCCGGTCACGCCGTGCACGCGCGGGCGTCCCGAGGCCCCTTGCGCCCCGTGCTCCCTGCGTGCCCGCCGCGCGCGTCGCTGCTACCTGCTGAGCGTGGCTCTGCGCCTGCTCGCCGAGCTGGCCTTCCTGGGTGGCCAGACGCTGCTCTACGGCTTCAGCGTGGCCCCGCACTACGCGTGCGCCGGCCCGCCTTGCCCGCACACCGTCGACTGCTTCGTGAGCCGGCCCACCGAGAAGACGGTCTTCGTGGTCTTCTACTTCGCCGTCGGGCTGCTCTCGGCGCTGCTCAGCGTGGCCGAGCTGGGTCACCTGCTCTGGAAGGGTCGCCAGCGCGCAAAGCTGCTCCCGCCGCCGCCACCACCGGCCGCTCTGCCTTCGCGGCGAGCGGATCCCGATCCCTTCGGTCCGCCCGCCTACGCGCACCGCGCACCGGCCGGCGACAGCGAGGGCGGCAGCGGCCACAGCAAGGCGTCGCTGGCCACCGTGCGTCAGGACCTGGCCATCTAGCGGCGAGGTCCGAGGCCCAACCTTCAGCACCGGGGTCCTTGGAGGCAGAAGCGAGAAGTGGCTTCCTAAAGACGGCGTAGGACCCTGCCTGAGCTGAGGATGAGCAGAAGGACCCCCCCCAGCAGAAGATGGGGAACCACCGGGGTTCGGGGCGGGGTGGCGTCGCACTTCTTAGTGCTGTTTGCAGCAGCATGCTGGGGGCTGCTTTGAATCAGGGAGCCTGTTTCGTGATGTGATCCCTGCGGAAAGGGAGGACGCCAGGGGCCTTGAGAGGAAGCAGACAGGCCAAGGGCACTGGGTGACCTGATTGTTTTACCGGGGGCGAAATCAGCAGTGATGGCAGTGTTCCCAGGCTCCTTGCTTGGTCAGAGAAGTGTACTTCTCTGTGGGCTCTCTGTGCACACATACGTGCACTCCCAGATGGGTTGGTTGTTCGTGCACATTAAACCTCTGTGGACTGTGTGTGTGCATGCATGTGTGTGTACACCTGCTGAGGGTGCGCACTAGTATGCACCTCCCAAGTAACAGGAGGTACAGACCTGTATTCATGCATGTGTGCACACCCATGCACATGGATGTTGCTGTGGGCTCTGTGTGCAAGCATGTATGCATGCATCCTGTGTAAGCTTTGTGTACACACCTATACACACACAATCTGTGTGTGCATCAACTAACACTGTCATTCACTACCAGAACCCAATGCCAGTGGTGGCCATAATGCCTTCCTCCCTGCTGGCATAACCCAGCCACCTGTGAGGGAGCAGTGCCCCTCCCCCAGGAACGGAGGGGGAGGAGAGTCCTGTACAAGGGTCATCCTATAGGTTTGTGATACTGTCAATGCTGTGCACCCAGACAGCCAAGCTCCACAGTGAGGCAAACTGGGAGTGGGCTGGAAGATAGAACAGGCCGTGGTGAGGCAGGACGGTGGTGGCACATGCTTTAATCCCAGCACTCGAGAGGCAGGTGGATTTCTTTCTTTTTTTTTTTTTTTTTTTTTTTTTTTTGGTTTTACGAGACAGGGTTTCTCTGTATTGTTTTGGAGGCTGTTGGTCCAGCCTGGCCTCGAACTCACAGAGATTCGCCTGCCTCTGCCTCCTGAGTGCTGGGATTAAAGGCGTGCGCCACCACCGCCCTGCTAGGCAGGTGGATTTCTGAGTTCAAGGCCAGACTGGTCTATAGAGTGATTTCGAGGACAAACTCCAAAAGCTACAAAGAAACCCTGTCTCAAAGAAACAAAAAACAAAAACAAACAAACAAAACCAGGCAGTAGCGTGGTTTTTTTGGCTTACATCTTCTCTCTTCCCAGCCACCATTGTTCTGTAGTCTGTAAACATGGCTGAGGCCTTTCTGTCCATAGGGAAAGCTGCCCTAAGACAGAGATGTACCTGGATCCCCATCCCCTTGCTAGTAGCCTTTCTTCTGAAAAGAGTTGCACATGGCTACTTCACCCTTTCTGTCTGTTGCCCCCTCCTTCATTGCCTGTGTGGCCACCCGGAAAACACTAGGACTAAGTGATGAATCCTGACAGAGCAGGGTTGCTCTCCCCGGCACCTCAGGCTCCTTCAGATCTGTTGCCCAGGCCCTGCATTCAGCCGCAACACCCCACATTGCCCCCTCTGTCCTCCATGTACCCCTCTTCCTCCTGAGGGCTTCCCACCTAGCCTAAGTCCTTGGGGGACCCTGTCCCCAGGCTTCCTGCACCCTGGGCCCCCTTGGTTAGGCCTCCATGGCCATCTTGCCATTTGGCACACCAGGTTGAAGTCTCTATCCCTAACAAGCACCAAGCCCACTTCTTTTTTTTTTTTTTTTTTTTCTTCGAGACAGGGTTTCTCTGTGTTGCTTTGGAGCCTGTCCTGGAACTCGCTCTGTAGACCAGGCTGGCCTTGAACTCACAGAGATCTGCCTGCCTCTGCCTCCCGAGTGCTGGGATTAAAGGTGACACCTGACTACCAAGCCCATTTCTGATGCTAGTTTTAGGCATGCTGTCCGATGCAAACTCACTTTCTGAAGCCCCGCCCCCACAACTGCCTGATTTTGCCTTTGGTCCCACTTGAAGAAGACTTGAGCTGGAGTCAGGCACTCCATGTCCCAGCACTGTCTCCTGGGCATGACATATAGTAGGTATTTTGGGAGAGAAAATAAATTATCAGGGTCCACACTATAACAACGCTCATGTCTAGGATCCCAGTGGATATGTCTGGCTACAGCCTGGACCCCTCCACACAAGCACAGATGTGGATGACCAGCTGTTTTCCAAAGATAACGTCACTCAATACTGGTTCAAGTCCAGCACCATCCAATACGCTTATATGTGAGAGATATTGTAATGTTTTTGTTTGGTTTTAGGTTTTTGAGACAGGGTCTCTCAACATAGCCTGGGACTCACTATGTAGACCAGGCTGCCTCTAAATCACTCAGATCTGCCTGCTTCTGTTTCCTGAGTGCTGGGATTGAAGGCTTGTGCCGCTACGTCCAATTTACAATGTAATTTCAAATTTTCCTTTGGCCACATTAAAAAAGTGAAACAGCCAGATTGATGTAAGTGGTGTTTTCTTTAACTGCTTTTTCCTCAACAGTTTGTTTCAGCACATGGCCAATATTCAGAAGTATTATAGAAGTATTTCCCATTCTTTTGCTCACTCAAATCTTTGTGTTTGTGTAAGTGTGTGTTTTGTTTTTCCGAGACAGGGTTTTCCAGTGACTTTGGAGGCTGTCCTGGAACTAGCTCTTGTAGACGACTCTGGTCTGGAACTCACAGAGACCCGCCTGCCTCTGCCTCCCGAGTACTAGGATTAAAGGCGTGCGCCGCCACCGCCCAGCTGCTCACTCAAATCCTGTGTGTACTTTTCCACATAAAGTCCATGCCAGTTCAATCCAGCCGGTTCAGTACGCAGGGCTCAGTGACTGCCACGTGCAACACCGACCCAGATGTTGGGCCACAGCACCGACCCAGATGTTGGGCCACAGCACCGACCCAGATGTTGGGCTGCAGGTGGACAACCTCTGTGCTCTCAGAGCTTGCACTGTGGTGGGGAAGACATCAAAAAAAAAAAAAAAAAGATCAGAGGAGTGTGATGTGTGATGTCCCTGATGAGGTGACGTTTCAGGGGCCAGTATGAAGCTGTTTCCAAGAAAAGCACACAGGTGGCAAGTGCTGAGGCCACCAAGAGACTAGTGTGGCTGGAGTTGAGTGAGCGATGGCTGTGGCGGGTAACCAAAACCTAGCAACAGTTCTGCCTTCCTCAGCTGTTCGGCTCCATGACGGGCCCCGCCCTCCTGTGCCAGCTGCTGCCCCCCCCCCTGCTCAACTTCAGTTCTACAAGTCCTCAGTCACCCACGCACCTCACTACCCGTGAGCATCCACCGCCTGTGGCTGCCTTCTCCCCTGCAGAAGGTGTGCAGGGTCAGCTGTGCCTAGGCTCCCCCACAGCCTCCTCAGGCCCTGCTGGCTCCGTCTGAACACTTCTTGTCATCTTAAATGCCCCTTCAGGGTTGAATCCTGCTCCTGCTACCCCTGCCCAGGCCTCTGAAGCCCCACCCTCTCCATATTCCCTCTCAAACCAGACACGAGCTGTTGATAAATTCTGATCATGAAGCACCCTAACTACCCCCATGCCCCACCTAGTTCCCGGGGGGGGGGGAGCGCTCCCCCGTGAAGACTCACTGGTGACACACCTCTGACTTGGCTCATTGTCATCCTGAGTCCCTCTGCTTGTGGAAGATAGGCCGTGAAGGAGCTGGTCAGTAGGGGACATTTGGTGGAGCCCTTGGGAAGCGAGCAGAAAGCCCAGGCATGGTGTGGAATGGCTGTAATCCTAGCGCTTGCGGGGTGGAGGCAGGAAGACGGGAAAGGTCACCCTACAGTGAGTTGTTCGCGGAGGCACACAGCCGTAACCTCAGAATCTGAGAGGCTGATACAGGAGGTTCTCAAATTCCACGCTAGCCTGAGCTATACAGCAAGACCAACATAGAATATAGCTGCTAACCATTGTGAGTGCTCAGGACAAACTCCCACAGAAAAAAAATCATCCCACCCAAAATGTCACTGCTAGACCTAGGTTACATGAAGAGACCATGTCTTTAAATTTTTTTTAAGGGCTAGATATGGCATTGCACACCTTTAGTTCCAAAACTTGGACAGCACGGCAGGTGGAGCTCTGTGAGGAGAGCTACAGACATAGAATTTGAACCAGTCAGGGCTACGTGTGAAACCCTACTGTCTCAAAAACAGAAAGAAAAGAAAAAGGCAGGGCATCCGTGGCACACAATTTTTTTTTTTGGTTTTTTGAGACAGGGTTTCTCTGTAGCTTTGGAGGCTGTCCTGGAACTCACTTTGTAGACCAGGCTGGCCTCGAACTCACAGAGATCCGCCTGCCTCTGCCTCCCGAGTGCTGGGATTAAAGGCGTGTGCCACCAACGCCCCGTTTCGTGACACACAATTTTAATCCCAGAACTCAGTAGGCAGAGGCAGATGAATCTCTGTGAGTTCCAGGCCAGCCTGGTCTACATTGTGAATTCCAGGACACAGAGAAACCCTGTCTCAGAAAAAACAAAAACAAACAAACAAAAAAAAAACAAAAACAAAAAGGGAGAAGAAAGAAAAAAAATGTCAGTTGTGCTACAGCTTGAGAAACTGCTTCCCAGTGATGAACTTTGGATTAGTAGAGACCGCTCAAGCCCAACAATTCACCACCGGGAAGATACTGTCAAAAGTTCCTCATCAGTATAGGGGCCTCTTCTAGGTTGTCATAGTGATGACATCCTGTTAGCGTTTTTGTTATCAGGGACTATGAACCTCAAGTTACCTTCCCACCGTTTAAGAAAATAAGTCACGGGCTGGGGAGATGGTGTAGTGTGGTCAGGTATTTGGCACATGGGCACAGGAACCTGAGTTCAGATCTTCAGCACCCACCTATAACACGGGGCCCACTGGTGTGAGGCAGGGGGCTTCCTGTGGCTTGCTGGCCAGCCCGTCTAGCACATTTGTGAGTTTGAGGCTCGGTGAGAGACCCAGCCTAAAAGACGAGGCAGACTCAAGTTAAGCCAGACAAAATCTCCTCATGGGTTGGGGAGGGGGTCGCCAAGTCCCACCCCGTAGCTGAGGAGTTACTGGCAGTCGCTAGCTCCTTGGGAGTGCGCTTTCTTCAGGGATGCTCAGGCAGGGGGCCCTACACCCAGGCACACCCAGGAGCACAAAGTAGACTCAGTGAGGTTGGAGTTGGAGCGGGGAGTGGTGGGGGTTAAGGGAAGGAACTGAAGGAGCAGGAATGGGGGTGGATGTGATCATAATTCACTGTATGCAAGTACGTGCTGGGGACAGACAGCGTCCAGGGCCAACATATGCTGGACAAGTACTCTGCCCTTGTTAACGCAGCCCCCTTCCTGGGCTCCTCCTCTTAAGGTACTTACTCATGTACTGAGCTTGCCCTTCTCTCTGTTCCTGCTCTACAATGCCATGTGACAGCATCCTGGTTTGTTTTTTATTTTGATTTTAGGGCAAAGTTTTACTATGTAGCTCAGGCTAGCCTGGAACTGAACTTGTGGTCATTCTCCTACCTCTGACTCCCAAGTGCATATTGGTTCTTGGGAGCCCGTTTGTACAAGTATGTTAGAAAATTACTAGGGAAGCGGTACCGTCCAAGCTCCCCCCCCCCCCCCCCAGGTAAGTGAGCAGCTTCTGCCATCTAGTGGCTGAACTAGAAATGGCTAGGGCCTCCAGCGACAGAACCCTTTGGTTCTCTACTGCTAAGGGGGAGGAAGTGGGAACCCACCCCCAAGCACCATCATCTTGGGGTGTCTGATGCCTCTGGAGTCTCAGGAACCCAATAAAGAACCCTAAGTTAGGCAGGAATTCTGATGTGTGACACCCCTTCCCACCTGCCACCAAGCGACCCTGGGCAAGGACACTGACAGAAAGGAATGGAAGGAACAGAAAGCTCACCCCCCCAAGCTCCTGCTGCCTATCAGCACCTCAAAGTGGGCTCACACAGATTCCCCACTCTCCTGTAGTCAGGGCACCAGGAACCCAGCTCCAGGACTTCATGGTCATCAAGTTTGCAACCACTTGTCTGTCACTCGGTAGCTTCAGTGTCTAGGGACCCCAAGGCCAGCCCTGGCTTCCTTTTTCAGACTGTGGGAAGAACCATTTCTCCTCCTGCTCCCCCTTCCCAGTCTGAGTCCTTTGCCATGGAGGAGACTCTCCCCGGGCCCGGTCTGAGGGCATTGCCAGATTGGGGTTCTGAGCCCTGGACCCTGCCACAGGGCAGCTGAGACACAGGCCGTTGGCACTTAGCATTGTGCTGAGGCACTGAGGCCCAGAGCCTGTGGAAAGCCCCCCATCTCGAATCCCCTGCCCAGACAGGGAGAGGAGAGGGTCGAGGCAGAGGCAGAGGCACTGTAGAATAAATAGAACTTTATTCTTTCTCCAGTAGATCTCAGTGGAAACCCAGCAGTAACAGGTACACCAGTGGGCTCCGGGGTGAGACCCTAGCCAGGCAGGAGGGCAGGGTAAAGCCTGCTCCCCCAGCCCAGGGGTGTAGGGGGAGGGAAGGGACCCCCTGGAGTCCCGTCCTGCGGGGCAGGGAGGGGGCACAGGAGAGGGGTTGGGGATAGGTCAGGGAAATGAAGGAATTCAGGCCGTGTGTGTGTGTGTGTGTGTGTGTGTGTGTGTGTGTGTGTGTGTGTGGTGTGTCTGAGGGCCCCATGGGGTGCTGGTGGCTATGAGGCTGGGGCAGGGGTAACTTGGACCCCTTAGCCAACCCTTCACAGTGGGGCTGGGGCTTGATGAAGTGAGCTCTGACGGGCAGTGATGGGTAACAACCCCATCCATCCAAGGGGCCCTAGCTTTACCCTTCCCTACTTGTTGGTGTGCAGAGGCAGGAGCCAAAATCCAGGATCCCCTCCTCCCAGGGGTAGCTGCCCAAGGCGCCCACGCCCAGTGGCTGGACAGAGAAGGGAAGCTGCTTCCTGCACAAGGGAGGAGAGGCGGTGGCCTTGGAAAGTTAGTATTTCACAGTATTAGAGAAAACTGAGGAGGACAGGCTGGGGGGCGGGGAGCATCCACTGGGACAAGGGAGAGGGGAGCCCTTCAGAGCCCTCTGCCCATCCCCAGGACTCACCCCTTCAGCTCTAGATCCAGCTCCCCCAATACACAGCACAAATTCCTTCAGTACAAATGTGCTTAAAATGAAAATTCTTATTAAAAAAATTCAAAACAAAAAAATTAAAATAAAAACAAAACCAGCGAGAATTAATATCTGGGGGTTGGTATGCAGGATATGTACAGGGGGTCTCCCCCACCCTGGACACCCCCCCTGTCACCATCTGAAGCAGGGGGGAGGTTCCCCAACTGGGGAGCGATGGCTTGAGTTCAGAGGACAGGGAGCCAGGTCCCGGCATTTGCTGGTGATGAAGACGTGGCAAGGTGCATAGGGCTCAGGCCCAGATCCTCACATGGCTCAGTGCTTGGCCCGATGCCAGCTCAGGCTGCCGGGAGAGGGCAGTCCATCTTGGGTCCGGACCTCTGTCCACAGAGTCACTGCCTCCTCCCTCCTGTCCCCGCAGAGGGTTCCCAGTTCTATCTGGGAAGATGAGGCGGGGCAAGGCGGAGGGTCACGTAGCCAGTAGGAAGGCAGAGAAAGCCAGGGCCGGGGTGAAGGCTGTCCATGTGGAGGTCACGGGGACTGGGTGGCGGGGCTGCTTCTGTGGGAACTGGGGCTGAGGCTGGGGCTACAGCTCCCCGGAGGGGGCGCCAGGCCACCCCCATCTCTTGTTCCACCCCCCGACTGTCCGCTTAGAGTGTCCAAGCCCTCAGAGTTCTCCAGCATTTCCTGGATAAGTGGCGGCATGGAGCCAGGGATCTCCATCTTCAATGTGATCACTCGCTCGGCTCCTGTGGGGAGGGAGGAGGAGGTCAGACTCACCCAGGGTCACAGAGTGAGGGGACCAGTGCACCCATAAGGGCATCCACGTGCACTGCACTCAGGACTCAGTTACTTGACACAAGCCCGCCCTTTGGAGCCCGCACTGTGACAACTGGGTACAGCATTCTGAACACTTGCCAGGTTTGGCCCGGGGTTGTCCCAGTCCTCAAGTCATGGATTATGCAGCAGACGCTGCCAAACCCCATCACCATCCCCTTCCTCCCAGGAAACAGGTTCAAAGCTGGCAGAGCTGCCGAGTGGTCACTCACAGACTACACCCACATGATCTGTTACAGAGGAATGCCTTGAACTACCACGGCAAAGTGACAGCAAGAGCCACAGGCCAGACACAGATGGGGACAAGCCGGGTTCACATGAGGAAGACACATGCAGACACCAAGACCTGAGGAGGCTCACCCTTGGCGCTGATGCTCCGAAGATCCGTGATCTTCATCAGCATCTTGGGGAACATGTGGGGACGGCTGGGCCTCCGTTTCCTGACGTAGACCTTCAGCGCCTCCAGCAGCGGCTCCTGCAGCATGTCCACCTTGTCTGGCTGCTCCAGGTCCTGGCGGTCTGAGCACAAAACTGCCCCTGAGCAGGAGCCAGGAGCCCCCTCCATCCTCATACCCAGGCACAAGGCTGCATTCCCAGATATGACCACATGGGGGCGGGTCTGCCCAAGCCACGGAGGGCAGAAGGCTGCTCCCACACACCAGGCCACAAGGTAGGACAGAGAGGGTCTCTCAGCACAGAGGCTTTAAACTCTAAAAAGAAGCCGGGTGTGGGCTGCCCAAAGCTCTCCACGGCAGCTGTGTTGATGGAACCCCACTCCCTAGCCCTGACAGCTCTCCTCACACAAGGCAGGGAATTCCCAGCCGCTCTCCACTCCCAGCCGTCATTACTATGGCATGACTACAGCAGTGTTAACATGGCAGAAAGAGAGCAATAAAAGAGCCGTCGACCATTAACTGGGTCTCATCCTTCACCCTGTAGAAGAGTGTCTGTTGCCCGGAGAGAACAAGCTCTCTCCTTGCTCGTGTGCCCAGAGAGCACACCTGCCCCTCCGGGCCTCAGGACACCTCCTGAGAGCCGCCTGTACCTCACACACCTCCACAGATGAGGCAGATGGCACTGAGCAATCCAGTCTCCGCATCGTCCATCTCCAGGGGCAGCAGCTGGTTGGCGAAGGCAAAGACTAAGTCGGTGAGGGGGCCAAAGCCAGCGTTGTGCATCTGCGTCCGGTTGAGGGTCAGCCCGTCTGAGAAGGTCATGGTGTCTTGCTCAGGCGTGTAACGCGTGCAGATTCGCAGAATCTGGGTGCACAGGATGTACAGGTTCAGAGGCTGGAGGGCCCCCCCACCTCCTGGCACACCAGCTCCAGCATCCCCAGAGGCCCCCTGGCAGGCAGCCAGAGCGTGGCTGGCTGGCTGACAGAATTTTCTCCAATGATGGAAAGGCTCCGTCTGCACCATCCAGTGCAGTAGCCACCAGCCCCATGTGGCTACTGAGCAACTAGGGGGCTGAACTGAGTCTAACTGTAATTAAATTTAAACAGATACACGTGGCCATCGCCATTGCACTGGGTAGCAGATCTAGGCCATGTAGCCGCCTCCAAATAGAGAAATCTGGAAGGAAAGGAGTTTCCAGCCAGCAAGAAACAAGGCAGATACGTCCTCAGGACCTTTCCAGCCAGCAAGAAACAGGCAGGTCTGTCCCCAGGGCCACCTCATTCAGCCTCAACAGTCTGCTCCCGAAGGTGCCTCCCACATCTGTGCACTGGGGACAGGCACATGGCTCCTCCACAGTCCACCCAGGATGTATCTGAAGGAAAAGGTGGGCGGAACCCTTGGCAGGGATGATAGGGGAACCTCCTCCTAGCCTTGGCTTGCGCGGTTCTCACTAATTCTGGCATTCCACTCACAAGTCAGGCCACCAAGTACTCCAACTGCAGCGTGTGTCCCTGAAGCAGGCCTTTCTGCTTCCCGCTCCCAGCAAACAGCCCCTCTACCAAGTATTAGAGCTGGAGCCTCTCCAGGGCCCCAGGAGTCACACTGCTCAGCACAGGGAGGGGGCAGGACAGCTTTCACCCACTTCAGCCAGCATTATCAGCTGGCAACATCCACTAACTCGCCCTTGGCCTCCTCCACTGGGAGAGAGGAAGGAAGTGTGACCACCTCTGGGCTCTTGACACCCAGCTTAGAGGGGCCTAGGTAAATCTTTCCGTGGACTGAATGGACAGGTAGGGCATGGGCTGAGCCGATGCACGGAGGACACCTGAGCACTAGGAGGCAGTGGACAGGAAGACACCAGAGAGGAAGAGTGCGGCCCATGAGGGCATTTGGACTCTGGAAAAGGTTCAGGAAAGTGGCTGTTGGACCGAGAACAGATCCTACAAGGACAGGAACATGGCCCAAGGTCAGGGGCAGACTCTCACCAGGATATCCAGGCAGGCAGCCTTGAGGAGGGTGATCTGGTCAGCAATAGTGAGGGTGGTGAAGCCGGGAAGCTGTTTGGCGAACTCCACGGTCTTAATGATGCACTTGGTGGAGAGTTCACTGAACTTGTCCCAGAGGTCAATGTCCAGAGAGACACGTTGTTCTGAGCTGTTGTTCTGGGAGAGGCCAGGAGAGTGAGCCTCAGCTGTGGCACCCGTTCCTTCTTCAGCCTGTCCACCGCCCGCCCGCCCTCCACCCAGACTCTGCTTCCGGACAGCTGTTGGGAGAAAACGCAGGAAGGGCAGCAGCAGGGGTAGCGGCAGCAGGGGCAGCAGCGGCAGGGGCAGCAGCAGCAGGGGTAGCCCCGGGCATGCAGCAGGGGTAGCAGCAGCAGGAGTAGGCAGCAGCAGGGGTAGCCCCAGGCATGCAGCAGGGGTAGCAGCAGTAGGGGTAGCAGCAGGGGTAGCCCCGGGCATGCAGCAGGGGTAGCAGCAGTAGGGGTAGCCTCAGGCATGCAGCAGGGGCAGCAGCAGCAGGGGTAGCCCCGGGCATGCAGCGCCCTCACTGGCCAGCATACCGTAGTGTACTTGCCCAGCTGGCAGAGGGCAGGGAAGGTCTCCTGGTGCGCCTTGCGCACCTTCTCAATAAGCTCCCCGACCTCCGGCGTCAGCGTGTAGCTCTCTGAGCATTCAGGCTTGGCTGCTTCTTTCTTCTTTTTGTTTCGATCGTTTCGCACCGCTGTGGAGAACACGGGTGGGTTAGACAGTGACTACCGCAGCTCAGGGCCAGGCCCAGCCCATGCTGTCTCCCAACCAGATAGACAGACAGACAGACAGACAGACACACACACACACACACACACGCACGCACGCATGCACGCACACACAAAGCAATACGCCAAACTAGCAACGTGCCATACTAGCCCTCCATGTCCACCTGACCCATCCTAAACCCCTTTCCAGGCCCACGACTGCGGCTGTGGCCATGAGTGCACATAACGCCCTTGGCCAGTATGGAGCACCCTGCCACAGGTCTACCCCAGCCCACGCTCTAAGAACACATGCCCAGACTGGCAGTCATGCAAACAGTCCCTGCTTCTGTGCCTGCCAGGAACCTTAGTGTCCCAGCTCCCCTGGCAGCTCCCCTGGGGATCCCTGAGACTGCCTAAAAGCGGCTCCCTGGGTGAGCAGGGAATAGGGTTCCCCAAGCACAGACTGGGGGCCCCCCAGCGGAAGAATCTCTTGGCCCATTAGCTGGGGAGCTGACAAATCACCGGGGGCGCTGAGCCGCACACACCACTCAGTTTTAAAGAAGCGATGGGGTCGTTACCAGCCGATTACCCCAGACACACAATCACTCACAGGGCCTCGGTGGCGGCTGACGCGGGAGGAAGGAAGGGTGGGGGTGGGGGTCCAGGGAGGGGATGGGGGTGGGGGAGCTGGCATAATTTGGAGATCACTCATGTCGATTCTGCAAATTCAATAAAGTGCAGGGGAGAGAAGGGAGAGGGAGAGGCAGAGTGGGGGGATAATTTGGGAAGAGAAAATTGCAGCTGTGACAAGACGTTTATCATTCGGAAGCTTTAATTCTATTGAAATGGCAGCTGCTCAGCTCCAGGGCACAGAGCAGCCAGAGAGAGAGGGGAAGGAGGGAGAGAAAGGGGGGTTGTTGGTGAGAAGAGAGGGGGTCCCCACCCTCGTCCTGTCCTTCTGCAGTGAAAAGAAGGTGGACCAAAGGGAGAGGAAGTAACACCCTTTTAGCAAAAAGGTCTCAGTTCTGCTTGTCCCAAGTTGTCACAGACTCTACAGAGGACAGTCACCACTTCCTGAGAGCAGGACCAGCACTCCCAGCCTTTGAAGACAGGAGGCAGCAGGATATCCAGTCCTCTGTTCCTGGCGGGGGCTCTTGGTGGCTCTTGGTATATTAGTCAGAACCATCCTTCCCTGCACCCCTCCCCACAAAGGGCTGGAGGGGGTCCTGCAGCCCCCTCCCCCACCTCATCCCCCAAGGCTCAGGCTCCATGGCAACGGCCACGCAGACAAGGAGGCGTCTGTCAGCGTCATTTATCTCTGACATCATCAATCACTGGTCACCACGGCAACACCCATGATTCAACACAAGAGGGTCTCTCCCTGTCCAGCCCTCCCTCTGTTCCTTCCTCCATCAGGGCCTCAGCTGGGTCCAAACTGGAAACCCCTGTTCCTCCTGGATCTGAGAAGCCCCATTCTCTTCCAAAGTTCCAGGCTTATCCAGACAATGGCTTCAGGGGTCCTGTGGCAGTCTCCCATCATATATGTACAAACTTGACACCCTCTGGAGTTCAGGCCCCTCCCCTAAGACACACAAGGGACTGGGGTATGCTACTGAGCCACACCCCAAAGTCAAGCAAAGCCTAGGAGAAAGCTATCCTGGGGGTAGGCACCCATGCACAAGCATACAAGCACTCAGCCAGACACGCGAGCGGGATGGCTTTGTGCGTTCTGTGCTTAAACACTGAACAACGCAGGGACACAGAGTCCTCCAGTCTCACGGACAGGTTTGCGTAGTTATCTACAAAGCATCCTTAACTCTGCCTGCCTGCCTGCCTGCCTGCCACGGCACACATGTTCCCACATGTGCACACAGGCACACAGCCCTCCCACCCCTGGCCTTCAGAAGCACTGCAGGCCCCACCTTGGGCGGGGCTTGGCCCCCGGCCCTACGACACTCACACTCCTTGGACATGCCCACTTCGAAGCATTTCTGCAGCCGGCAATACTGGCAGCGGTTCCGGGTCACCTTGTTGATGATGCAGTTCTTGTCCCGGTGACACGTATACACCATGTTCTTTTGGATACTGCGTCGGAAGAAGCCCTGGGTCCAGAGGGAAAGGAGACAGGTTATCCACACCCGCAATGGGAGCAGCCCAGCTTCTGCTACCCGGAGCCTTTGCCATGGCCTACCTAAGAAGGCAGGAACAGTGGCGTTCCTGAAAGGACACTCTTCGAGAGGACCCAGGCCTGACTATCCCACAGGCTGGCCCGGGATCTCCCCAACCTCCACCTCAATACTTGACTCTTGTCTTTCAGAGAAAAGGACTCAGGGCTGAGTCTGGAGTAGGATAGACTAGGCTGGGGATGGGAGAAGAGGTGTCTGGGCTGCAACAGTCTGGGACTCAGGACACAGCAAGAAAAAAAAAGCAGGCGGAGCAGGTATGGTGGCGCACACCTTTCATCCTAGCATTAGGAGGCTGAAGCAGGTGGATCTCGGCGAGTTTGAGTCTAGCATGGTCTACACAGTGTGTTCCAGGACAGCCAGAGCTACATAATAGACCCCGTCTCAAAAAACCAAAAGAAGACAGTCGAGGAAGCCGAGGAGGGACTGTGCAGTCATGCACACTCATGAGGCCGAGAAAGGACCGTGTGCACGCAAGCCACACGTGTGAGCAAGACAAGCCATTCCCCGGCGAGACATACACACTGGACAATCACAGAAAAGCCAGGCTGTCCAGGGTTCTGCAACCCAGAAACAGAGTCATTAGACAGCAATAAGGCAAGCCAACCAAGACAGGATCAGCACATGCATATGGTCCTACACTGTCCTTGACCTTGATCCACTTGGGGGTAGCTACCCCACGCTGAGGTTCCAGGACCCAGAGTCGAAAGTACTGAAGACACAGAGATTCTAGGCTCTTATTTTTGAAGAAAGAAACCGAAGCACAAGTCCTGTTACTACGTAGGGACCAGAGTGACCAGGACCAGAGAGGCCAGGAAGGTCCAGCCACATGCGTGCCTAGAGACCAGTATGACTAAGGTGACAGGAAACCCAGCGGCCACTGGTGAGCCCACAGCCTGGACACCTGAAGGGAGCCAAGGCGGGGTGTCTGCTACTAGCTGTCTCCTGCAAGGATGTCATGGAAAAGCTTCAGGCAAGGCCACTGGGGGCAGGCCTCCTGGGTCCCCAGCCAAGAGCCAGGCAGCAGCCAGCTTACCATGGCAACCTGGGCAACAGTGGCAGGGCCAGTGTATACCCTGCCACCCAGAGGATAGAGACAAGGAGAGCCCGGCAGGAGGGGGCTTCTGGTTTGAGGGAACACTGCTCATTTATGGAGGAGGCCCTGCTGTACATCTCCTCCTCCTCCTCGTCCTCCTCCTCCTCCTCCACGGCTGCTGAAGAAGCAAAAAAGAGGCGGCCTCGGCAATACCCAAGACGCTCTCCACTCACCTTGCAGCCCTCACAGGCGCTGACCCCATAGTGGTAGCCCGATGACTTGTCCTGACAGACAAAGCAAGGCTTATAGATGCGGGGCAGAGGCGGTGGGGAGGGGGGGGCTGGGCACTATCTCTTCCGAACTGCTGCTCTGGGTCTCGATGGCTACAAGAGAAGACAGAGAGTTAGAGGCCCAGATCACTACCCTCGGCACCCTGTCCGCTCTGCGCAAAGTAATCCTGGCCTCGTCACTGAGGGCAAGATTCAAAGCCTGGTCGGTGACGGTCTCTGCAAACTTGATCCTCCACAGCCAGCCAGGGGAAGGAGGATGACAGTTAAATATCTACCAGACCTCATGGCTCCTATATCCCCACCTTCAATTCTAGATTTGTGTGTGAACACTCCACACACACACACACACACACACACACACACACACTCACACTCACACTCACACACAGCTATAACTGGAGGGTTGGAGGGTGAGGCGGTGAGCTTGATTTCAAAGCCCTAATAGAAATAGCACCCTAGCCAGGGCTCCCCCAAATTCAGGAGTCAAGGCTTAGCGAGGAGGGAGGGAAGGACAGGCAGGAAAGCAGAGGAAACTGGGGTCAACAGGATATTCAAAGCCGGCCACTCCCTGGCCCCTTCTGCTTCCGCTCTCTCCTCCACCCCCAGACAGCAGGCAGAACCCCTCCCCCACCCAAACAATCCCCTGGCTAAGGTGGGGTCCAAGGCAGCACACACGCAGGAAGAATCAGATGCAGACACAGAGCAGGTGGAACACCCCAAGATAGTCGGGGAGCTCCTGGAGACAGAGAAGAATCCCCCACAGTCCCTAGAAGTCCATCTCTTTGGATGCCCCGTGTCTGTCTGTAGGGAGGCAGTGTGACAAAAGGGGTCTGTTCCCATCAATGCTCTGTCTGTCCGGTCTAATACTACGTCCGGGTTACTACCCCCTCCGCTGTTATTCAGCTCCAAGAGGGCAGCCAGGAGGGGTGACCTAGCCCACAGGGGCAGTCCACCCAAGCAAAAGCTCTGTGCCTGGCTCTATGCCCGTCGCCCCAGACAGAACATGGCTAGTTGGGTGAGAGTTGGCTATGCCCAGAGCCTGGGCCACAGGAGATAAAGTATGACAGACATCTATAGCAGAGACTATCGCAGATTCCCAGAGGGCCCTCCAGCGTCCTCCTTTGTCACATCCATTTCTACAGAGTCGAGAATGGGTGAGACTCCACTTTGCCTAGCTCTATGCCTCCCCGGTGAGCGCATGGCGAGGTACACAGTTCCTGCGCCCAAGCATCTAACAGCTCGTGCTATGTCAGGTTGTGAATGACTCCTGTGGCTGCAAAGCCCAGGCAGAGGGGTAAGGACACTTGGGGACACGGGAGCCTGGCTGCGCACTATCTACCGCTCTCCCTCGTTACCTGCAAACACACCAGGGAACTATGCCAATGGCCTTGGCAGGGCTTTTCCTGGCTCCTATTTGGATCTGGCCATCAGCCTGGCCAACCAGCACTGTTGAAAGCCATGTCCCCTTCCCTAACCAGAGACCATCCTGCAGGGAAAGGACTTTCACCTGCACCCCGTGAAGGGTAAACTGACCTGCCCAATCTGCTCCTCGTGCCTACACAGAACTTCTCTGCCCTAGCCTTTCACCCCACTTCCTTCTCGGGAGGCCTGACAAGCAAATCAAACAGTCAGGGAGGCCTGAGAACAGCTGCTGGGGGGCGGGGTTGGGGGGCCTGGGTGAGGCCAGGAGGCAAAGGGGCGAGTGACAAAGGAGCCCTTTGTCGTGCTAACTTTTTCCAAGACGTAAAAAGCAGTAACAATAGACAATCCAGACTTGGGGGGGCATCAAGGCCAGGGGGGCCTGGCCTCCCAATCCTGGTCAGCATTCCAACAAGCACAGGAAGAAGGCACTGGCCTCCCCTCCCTTCTGCTAACCCACCCTTTGCCCTGGACCTGTCCCCCATTCCAACCCCCAAACTGAGCCAAATTGGAAGGGAGGACTGAAGATTTGGGGTTCAGGGCCAGGGGAGGGAGGGAGGCACAGGGAGAGAGAACCAGGATGAACACCAAAAGGCCAAGGGCAGACCCGAGCGGCAAAAGGCTCAGACAATCGAGTTAAGGCAAAGTCCAGAGAGCTGTGCATGGAGATGAAAGAGTTGTGCTTTTCAAAACTGTTTTTGGCAAGATGGTGGACATGACCCTAGGTGGGTTGGGGGCTGGGTAAAGCCTTTTCTCAAACCACCCCCAGTAACTGGCTGTCAGGTTACCTCCACCTGTCACTCAGGTTAACTCAACCTGGTTTCCAGCTCTATGTTTTAAGTTCAAATCCCAAGGCCCAGGTCCCCCACCTCCCCAAGCCTCCAGCCAGCAGCCTAGGGAGGCCAACGTCAAGACCAAGTCAGAAGAGTTACAGCCCAGTATGAGCAGGTGGGGCGGGGGGGGGGGGGACTACCCTGGCCTGGCCTCACTCCACCAGCCACCCTCCCTGGAGGCCCCAGCCCACAAATCTCTCCACTTCCTGCAGAAAGGCTGGGGCTGGAGAAGGACCAGACCTCAGCTCAAAGTTCCACCGAGCAGCCAAGGGCTGGAACCGACCCAGGAAGCCCGGCGTCCCCTCTCGCCGCCGCTGCCAGGGAGCCCCTCCCCCCTCCCCTCCTGGGCGGGCGCACACGGAGCGGGTCCCCACGCCCCAGAGCAGTTCGCAGGCTCGCGCAAGGGGCCAGTTTCCTGAAGGAGATCAGCAGGAAATCAGCTGGGCCCCTGGCCAGCGGCTCCCCTCCCAAACCAGCTGGCGCCCTCTTTGCAACTCCCTTCACAGACCCTAGGGAGAGATGGGGAGGGGAGTGGAACCCTCTGTTACTGCCTTTTCTCCTCATGGGGACTGGGTAAGGGTGGCTCTGGGTGCAGCATAGCCAGAAAGCTTAAAGCAAGGCTCGAACTTAGCGGTCGGTGGATGATAAGCATCTCTCCCATCCCCCCACCACCACCACTATGGGCATCCACGTGCTTCACATTCTTGGACGTCTGGAAGCGGGCGGAGGCGTGAGCTGTGGAGACTGGTGGGGGACAGATGGGGAGCCACATCCTGTGCACCCCCCTTGTCCTCTAATGCACTGAAATGGGGGTTATGGGAGGGACTCAAAGTCCCCAAGGCAGGTCTGCACCCACAGCCAACTGGCTCTCCTCCCTCCGTTGGTGCAGGCCCTGGGTAGTGTTTTGCAAGAGGTGACTCCAGGTCCTAGTCTCTACACACCGACAGGCTCTCCCCAAGGTGGTGGCACGGGCTCCACCAGGAAAGGTCCAGTGGCCACCCTGACTCTAGGTCCTTACCAAGTACCCCAAAGCAACTCAGCATGAGTGAAGGCTGGTGAACACGGACAGCGAGAAGCTCTCCTCCGGCCACTACCGTAATCCCACAGCAGGCTCTGTGTGTAGACGGGTCTCCACTTCCTAAGTCCAGTGGCTGGGAACGGAGGGGGCAGAGAGGCTCCCCAAATGTGCTGTTGCCTCAGTTCTCTGCCAGCCTCCCCCCTCACTTTATGGGCCAAGAAGAGCTCAGCTGTCCTAGAGGGCTTGGGAAGAGAGACCCCAGGGGCTGAGATCCTACCTTCCCCCAGTGCAATGGAGAGGGGAGCCTGGGGCTCAGTCCCATCATCCCCCCAGGGGTGGCTCCTCCTCACAGTGCTGGGATAATGGGAAGTGTCACGATGCTACTTCTCACCTCCTTCTTCCAAAGCCAAGGATCACCCACCCCTCCTAGTCTGAAACCCAGCAGCTGATTCTGCCTCGGAGGCAAAGGTCAGGGGGCAGGACAATAGGAAAGGCCCAAGGAAGAGGTGTCTGAAGGGCAGGGGTGGCTGTCATTAACTCAGGGCTCTCTTCTGATGCAAGAAGGGTTGTGGTGGGCAAATCCTTTTCTGCTTCAGCCTTCCCAAGTATGCTTAGGCCAAGTGGTCCTCAACCTTCTCAATTCCCAACCTTTACTACAGTTCCTCCTGCTGTGGTGACCCCCAACCATAAAACTGTTTTCTCTGCTACTTCATAAGTGTCATTTTGCTACTGTTAGGGATCATAAGTAGTATCTGATATGTGACCCCTGTGAAAGGGCCATTTGACCCTCCTCCGTGGGGTCATGACCCACAGGTTGAGAAAACCTGTGGCAGGCCTTAAGAGACCCAATCTTCTTGCTCCCTGGCACGCAGAAGGGTGGCAGCAGGAACGGGAAGGTAGGAGAGCCTCCTGGGAAGAACCGATCCCACAGCAGAGTGGGAGACGAAACCTGAGCCACCTAACAACACCCGGCACCAGTTCCCTACCGCTAATACACACTACCTCACAGCTGAGCATAAACATGCCCAGGTGTGCACCCTGGGCATGCACACAGGTCCTGGGTGTGAACAGAACCCTCCCTTATAGCAGAGCCCGAACCCAACTGAACCGGACTAGAGAGGGCGGCCAGGACATCAGGGTTCACATCACTCATCCCTCTTAACAGCACAAAGCCTGGCCCGATTTTCCTAGACAGGGTAACAAAAGGCCCCATGAGTGGTGGAGATGTATTCTCATTGCCAGAGACCCCCCACCCCCGATCTTAAAAAGCAAACACCCCCTAGAAAGCAACCGGGATGAAAATTAAGACGATTCTTCACACCAGCTTCTCCCCCTGTTGCCAGCATGAAAGTGCGCCCCACCGGTCAGGTATGTGGGATGTGGGGCCAGACCTGCCCCCAAGATGGACTAGTTGCCTCTCAAAGTGTAAAGGGTGGCCAGGACAGCAACTGTCAGCTGAAGTCCCTTTCTGCCACACCCACACCCAACTATCAACACCACAGACAGGGAGCAGTCCCCTACCACCCGCAACAGCGAGCAGAGGCTGGGGGCAGCAGGGGCTGCACGCGGGGCAGCAGGGGCTGCACGCGGGACAGCCAGCGGTCTCCCTAGGCTTTGGCAGGGGTGGGATCTGAGGAGGTAGCCCCTCCTCTTCGGAACAGACAAGCCCACAGCCAGGACCTTTACCCCACCCTCCAGCTGGCTGTGGATCCTAACCCTGAAGATGTAATTGGGGGGCCAGAGGTTGGAATTTCATGTCTCCGGGAGGAGGAATGCTCAAAGTTACTGAGCTCTACCATGGTAGCGCGCCAGGGTCACTGGGT